GCCAGAGCCTGGGATCCGACGGCGACGGTGACCTGCGTGCTGACGAGGTGCAGCCGTTGGAAAGCTCCCCCCTTTTCAGCGTCGTGGCGAAAGCCAGATTCTGGGATCCGTCGGTGACGGTGACCTGCGTGCTGACGGGGAGCTGCCGACGGCAGGCGACGGGGGCGCTGCGGCCCAGCCTGCTGCGCCGCCGCCTAGCGGCTCTGGCGCGCTCGACGCGGATGGAGGCGGCCACGACCTTCGCACGTACTTCGGGTACCGTGTCTGCCTGAGGTGCTTCCAGCACGCGAAGGAGGTGAAGGGCAAGCACAGGGGGCTCGGCATGGCCTGCGCCCCGGCGCTCAAGCCCGGCGCCCAGGCCGAACGCAGAAGGAAGGCTGAGAAGATAATGAGAGGAGTGGCTCCTTCGGGGAGGCCGCTCGCGTAATGGTGTCGCGGCGGGTTCCACTTCCTCATCTGAGCTGCCGCCCGCGTCGCCTGCTGCGTCGCCGCTGCTCTGCCCTGTCGAGGTGCCGCCGTTGCGGCGTCTCCAGAGGCGGCCAACAGGGCCGCCGTGCGGCCCGCGGCGCAGAAGCTGGACGTGCGCGCTGCGCGCACTCAGGCTGCTGAGTGAAAAAAATTCTCGGCCGCCGAGGGCGCAACCTATGGCGCAACCGATAAGTGACGGTTTTATTCTCGGCCGCCGAGGGCCGAGGGCGCGACCTATGGCGCAACCGATAGGAGACGGTGTCATTCTCGGCCGCCGAGGGCGCAACCTGTGGCGCAACCGATGGGATGCGGTTTTATTATCTTGCACAGCTGTGCTCCAGAGCTCGGACATCTGTATTTTCGTAGTTTTTCATGGTTCGTGGTGGTTCGTCCCTTCCCAGGGCGGCCGCCCTTGGCCGCGGAACCATGGTTTTCGTCGTGGCTCGTGGTGGTTCGTCTCCCTCGCCCCCCCCCCACCCCACCCCCTGAGCCTGAGCCCCAGCTCCCCTGGGCCACCCCCCCTTGGGACCCCCCCATCCGTCCAGGCGTCCCAGGGCAGCACCCCTGGGCCGCGGAGTCCTTTGTTTTCGATGTGGCTCGTGGTGGTTCGTCCCCCTCGCCCCCCCCCCCCCCCTGAGCCTGGGCCCCAGCTCCCCTGGGCCACCCCCCTTTGGGACCCCCCCTCCGTCTAGGCTTCCCAGGGCAGCACCCTGTGGGCCGCGGAACCCTTTATGCTGGTCGTGGTTCGTATTGGTTCGTCTTCCTCGGTCCCCCCCTGGGCCCAAGCCCCAGCTCCCCTGAGCCACCCACCCTTGGGAGCCTTCCTCCGTCCAGGCTTCTTAGCTCCCCTGGGCCACCCCCCCTTGGGACCCCCCCTCCGCCCAGGCTTCCCAGGGCAGCCCCCCTGGGCCGCGGAACCCTTTATTTTCGTCGTGGCTCGTGGTGGTTCGTCCCCCTCGCCCCCCCCTAGTGAGCCCCAGCTCCCCTGGGCCCCCCCCCCCTTGAGAGCCTTCCTCCGCCCAGGCTTCCCAGCTCCCCTGGGCCACCCTCCTTTGGGACCACCCCTGAGTCCAGGCTTCCCAGGGCTGCCGCCCTTGGCCGCGGAACCTTTGTTTTCGTCGTGGCTCGTGGTCGTTCGTCTCCCTCGCCCCCCCCCCCCCCCTGAGCCGGAGCCCAGCTCCCCTGGGCCACCCCCCCTTGGGACCCCCCCTCCGTCCAGGCGTCCCAGGGCAGCACTCCTGGGCCGCGGACATTATTATTTTCGATGTGGCTCGTGGTGGTTCGTCCCTTGCCCCCCCCCTGAGCCTGAGCCCCAGCTCCCCTGGGCCACCCATCCTTGGGACACCCCCTCCGCCCAGGCTTCCCAGGGCAGCCCCCCTGGGCCGCGGAACCCTTTATGTTGGTCGTGGTTCGTGGTGGTTCGTCCCTCTCGCCCCCCCTAGTTTGAGCCCTAGCTCCCCTGGGCCCCCCCCCCTTGAGAGCCTTCCTCCGTCCAGGCTTCCCAGCTCCCCTGGGCCACCCCCCCTTGGGACCACCCCTGGGTCCAGGCTTCCCTTGGCAGCCCCTCTGGGCCGCGGAACGCTGTATTTTCGTTGTGGTTCGTGGTGGTGCGTCCCCTTGCCCCCCCCCCCCCCCCCCGAGCCTGAGCCCCAACTCCCCTGGGCCACCCCCCCTTGGGAGCCTTCCTCCGTCCAGGTTTCCCAGGGCAGCCCCCTGGGCCGCGGAACGTTTTTTTTTCGTCGTGGCTCGTGGTGGTTCGCCCCCCTCGGCTACCCCCTCGAGCTTGAGCGCCGGCTCCCCTCAGCCACCCACCCTTGCGACCCCCCCTCCGCCCAGGCTTCCCAGGGCAGCCCCCTGGGCCGCGGAACCCTTTATTTTCATCGTGGTTCGTGGTGGTTCGTCCCCCTCGGCTCCCCCCCCTGAGCCTGAGCCCCAGCTCCCCTTGGCCACCGCCCCTTGGGACACCCACTCCGTCCAGGCTTCCCAGGGCAGGCCCCCCTGGGCCGCGGAACCCTGTATGTTGGTCGTGGTTCGTGGTGGTTCGCCCCCCTCGGCCCCCTTCCTGAGCCTGAGCCCCAGCTCCCCTGAGCCACCCACCCTTGGGAGCCCCTTGGGAGCCTTCCTCCGTCCAGGCTTCTTAGCTCCCCTGGGCCACCCCCCCTTGGGACCCCCCCTTCCGTTCAGGCTTCCCAGGGCAGCCCCCCTGGGCCGCGGAACCATTTCTTTTCGTCGTGGCTCGTGGTGGTTCGCCCCCCTCGGCTACCCCCTCGAGCTTGAGCGCCGGCTCCCCTCAGCCACCCACCCTTGGGAGCCTTCCTCCGTCCAGGCTTCCCAGGGCAGCCCCCCTGGGCCGCGGAATCCTTTATTCTCTTGCTCGGCTGTGCTCTAGAGCTCGGACATTTTTATTTTCGTCGTGGTTCGTGGTTCGTGGTGGTTCGTCCCCTCGGCCCCTCCCCTGAGCCTGAGCCCCATCTCCCTTGAGCCACCCACCCTTCGGAGGCTCGCTCCGTCCAGGCTCCCCAGGAGAGCCTCCCTGGGCCGCGGACATTATTATTTTCGTCGTGGTTCGTGGTTCGTGAGGTTCGTCCCCCTCGGCCCCCCCCCCTGAGCCTGAGCCCCACCCCCCCTGGACCACCCACCCTTCGGAGGCGTGCTCCGTCCAGGCTCCCCAGGACAGCCCCCTGGGCCGCGGACATCCTTATTTTCGTCGTGGTTCGTGGTTCGTCGTGGTTCGTCCCCCATCGGCCCCTTCCCTGAGCCTGAGCCCCAACTCCCCTGGGCTGCCTCCCCTTGGCACCCCCCCTTCCGTCCAGGCTTCCCAGGGCAGCCCCCCTGGGCCGCGGACATCCTTATGTTCGTCGTGGCTCGTGGTGGTTCGTCCCCCTTCGGCCCCCCCGTGAGCCTGAGCCCGACACCCCAGAGGCTCTTTCAGACCCCAAACTTATGAAAACCGAATTCGGGATACACATTTACACCGACTGGATACCCTCCTGGAAGAAGGAGGCGCGGGCCTCCAGTCCTTTGCAGCTCCTTCGTGCAAGAGCCAGGGCACGCGTGCCACTTGTTCTCAGCCGCCCAGGGCGCAACCTATGGCGCAACCGAGAGGAGACGGTTTCATTCGCGGCTGCCGAGGCGCGGAATCGATGGCGTAACCGATAGGAGACGGTTTCATTCTCGGCCGCCGAGGGCGCATTTTGCGGCGCAACCGATAGGAGACGGTTTTAATCTCGGCCGCCAAGGGCGCAATCTATTGCGCAACCGATAGGAGACGGTTTTATTCTCGGCCGCCGAGGGGCGCAACCTATGGCGTAACCGATCGGAGACGATGTTATTATTGTCCGCCGAAGTCGCAATCTATGGCACAACCAATAGGTGACGGTTTGATGTTCGGTCGCCGAGTGCGCAATCCATGGCGTAACCGATAGGAGACGGTTCTATTCTCGGCTGCCCAGGGCGCAATATGTTGTGCAATTGATCGGAGACGGTTTTATTCCTTGCCGTCGAGGGCGCAATTTGTTGCGCAACCGATGGGATACTGTTTTATTGTCGGCCGCCCAGGGCGCAATTTCTGGCGCAACCGATAGGCGACGGTTCTATTCTCGGCCGTCGAGGGCGCAACCTATGGCGCAACCGATAGGAAACGGTTTTATTCTCGGCCGCCGAGGGTGCATGTTACGGCGCAGCCGCTAGGATACGGTCTTATTCTCGGCCGCCCAGGGCGCATTTTGTTGCGCAACCTATAGGAAACGGTTTTATTATTTGCCGTCGAGGCCGCATATTGTTGCGCAACCGATAGGAGACGGTTCTATTATCGGCCGCCGAGGGCACAGCTTATGGCGCAACCGATAGGAAACGGTTTTATTATCGGCCGCCGAGGGCGCAACCTATGGCGCAATTGATGGCGCATCCTAGGTGCCAGGAGAAGAAGGATGAGCAGGAGGGGGACGAGGAGAAACGAGGACGGGGTCTTAGACGACGACAAGGAGGAGCTGGAGCGGGAGGAAGACGAAGAAGACGAGGATGATGATCAGGAAGAAGACGAGGATGATGATGAGGAGGACGTGGAGGAGGAGGAGGAGGACGACAACGACGATCAGGATGGGGAGGAGGACGGGGAGGAATACGAGTAGTACGAGGACGAAGTGTGGGCATTCGAATGCGTGCGGGACTACGCCCGATTTATGCTCGTCGTTTAGGCTGTTGGTGGGGCCCACGCGGCGAGCTGTCTTGTGATTCTAGCCCTGGCGACGAAGTCCCAGTTTTGGGGGGTATGTGCCAGTCTCTGCCAGTTTTTCCAGCCCTGGCCACTTCCACTTACACTGAACGTCCATCATCCACTGTTTCAGGCTTCTCTGTACCCATAGGGTGGTGGGAGGGGGCCTATGGGTGCGTGTTGTCGGATGGGGGCCCCCACTCGAACGGAAGTGCCCTCCAGAGTCCGACAGCCCGCGCCCATACCCACATAGCCACTCCTCCTCCCAACGACCCCCTTGTGGGCATGGGTGTGTGTGTGTGTGCTGTTCGTTCGTTAGGTCACCCCAGGCACCTGCCTCCGTCAAGACTGCTTCGCGTGGCGAGGCCCGACGTACTGCTCCGCCCTGGAGAACTTCGCGTGCGTCTGCCGCCCCGGGCACTGCGTGAACCGCACGGGCGGCTGCTCGCCAGACCCTCGCGTGCCCACCGGCTGCACCGTCGGCCCGGGCAGGATGCGATCGTGCATGCTGCATGTCGAGCCCTGCGACGCTAGGATGTCGGGTGTTGCTAGAAGTGCCCCTGGCCCAATGTGCCCCCAGCTTTTCGCTCCACTCTGGAGCCCCATGGGGCTCTCCAGGGCCCGAGAGGGGTGCTCTGGAGGCCGTCTGGGCCACCCCGAGAATCCTGGGGGGCACCTTGGGCCAGGGGTACTTCTAACGACACCCGAGGATGGAGTGCTCCAACGCCTTGTGGGGCGTGTGCCAGTGCTTGCCCGGATTGTGCTGGGATGACGAGACCAGCGAGTGCGTCTGCCCCCCAAGCGGGTGCCCAGACGGCCTGCAGGAGGAGGAGGAGCAGGAGGAGGAGGAGGAGAAGGAAGAGGAGGAGGAGGAGGAGGAGGAAGAGGAGGGGGACGAGGAGGAGTGTGAGGAGGAGGAGGAGGAGGAGGAGGAGGGAGGAGGAGGAGGGAGGAGGAGGAGGAGGAGGAGGAGGAGGAGGAGGAGGAGGAGGAGGAGGAGGAGGAGGAGAGGAGGAGGAGGAGGAGGAGGGAGGAGGAGGAGGAGGAGGAGGAGGAGGAGGAGGAGGAGGAGGAGGGATGGAGGAGGAGGAGGAGGAGGAGGAGGAGGAGGTGGCGTTGCCAGGGCTCGCTGGCGGGCTCGGTGGGCGCCAGGGCGGTCCGACCCAGCAGCTCGCCGCTGCCGCCGGCGCCGCGGCTGCCTGCGGCGCCCTCGCCGCCGCCCTCGCCGTGGCCGCGCGGCGGCCGCCACCGCCAGGGCCCGCCGGCTCGTCCTGGCGCGGCGCGGCGCGGCCGCTGCTGGGGTCCGCCGCGGCGTGAGGGGCCGCGGTGGACCGTGGGGCCGAGACGTCGTGCCTGCGCACAGCAGCATCTAGGGAAACAAACAATGACATAAAACATAAAAACTTGGAGGTCCGCTCGGATTTCTCGGATCGGCGTCGAACCCTCCTCCCTGGCGCGCGGAGCGCGCCAGGGGCGGCGCCGGAGGCGCCGCCAGGGGTCTCCAGCGCCGATCCGAGAAATCCGCGCGGACCTCCGAGTTTTTATGTTTATGTCATAGTTCTTCCCCCTAGCATCGCAGGCGCCTCCATGTCCCTGGGCAGGTGCCCCAGGCACGCGATGCCGTGATCTTTTTCGATGCGGGGTTCCCCCGAGTGTCCCGACCTTCTCCCCAGGGCCGGCTTCCCATCTCGAGCCTTCTTGTGGACGGTCCCGGGGCCCGACGAGAGCCCGACGAGGGCCGACAACGGCCAAGACAGCCGCCCGCCGCGATGTCTGTTCTGCCACGCAGCGGGCACGCCTGGGCGCAGCAGCGTCGGCGTCGCAGGCGCCGCTCCGCTCCTCGGGCGGGTGCTTTTCGAGCAGTGGCGAAGCGTCCTGGCTTCCCTATAAAGAATGTTGTGGTCTGCACGAAATGTTAGAACAGTTCGGGCTGGGGCTGTCTTGTTTCAACACATCGGGCTTATGTTCACAGAACACTGTTTCTGTTCTTAAAGCTTGGTTGGGTTCTGAGAAGGTTTCGTGGTAGCCCCATAGGAATGCCTGGACGGTCGGTCCCCGCTCAAGCTTTTTGGTCTGTCGCACGGCGCCCGCGCAGCGGCTCGCAGGCGGCGCTCGGCCGCGGACGCGGAGCGGCCGCGGGCGCGGGGGGGGGGTCTGAGCGCGCGAGGCCCGCGGCAGGCTGGCCTGGCGTTGTGCCCTTCTCTCGCGGGCGTCCCGACTGCCGGGGGCGGGAGATGGCGGGTCGGGGCGGGAAGCTCGAGGAACCACAGCACGGCAGGCGGCAGTCCTGTGAGGGTCGGTCGGTGGCCAGCCTCCGGGAAGATAGCTCTGCGCACACGGTTCGGCGCAGGCGGGGTCTGCGGGCATTGCAGCAGCGCCTCCGCACCGCCGCAGCCATCACAGAGGGCCGTGCCAGCAGCTCACTGCGTATTGTACACCAGCGTTGAGTAGTCTAGGAAAAAAGGGGAGGATATTGCGGCTTGCGGTGTCGTGTGTGTGTGTGTGTGTGTGTGCGTGTGCGTGTGTGTGTGTGCGTGTGTGTGTGTGTGTGTGTGTGTGTGTGTGTGTGTGTGTGTGTGTGTGTGTGCGTGTCGTTTACCACTTTCCGTTGTGTTACCCGCGTGCAGGTGTTGCTGATTCGTTTTCCGTTGCGGGGCTTCTTGGGGCCTGGGGGCGACCGTTTGGAGTATGTTCAAGGCCCCCGGAGGCTTTTTGGGGCCCTCGAGGGGCTTCTTGGGGGCCTGTTGGGGCATATTGGGGATCTTGGGGGCCATCTTGTGGAGGAGGGATCCCGGGGTCCCTCTGGGTTCCTCCTCCTATGCGTCTTGTGGGCCCATCACTGGGCCGTCTTAGGTTTTTGGTGTTGCTTTCTCGGGGGCTTCTTGGGCAGTCTTGAGCCGTCCCCCGGCCCTCTTGGGCCGTCTTGGGCTAGTGACGCGGGCCTCTACTTAGTCCTTTTTTGTTGGCCTGCAGAAGCCCGAACATGCGAGATCGCGAGAATCATGCCCAACCATTTGAAAATCAAGTTTTTTTTTCTGTTCCTCTGGAGGCCCTCTTGGGGCTTCTCTCGGGGCCCTCTTTCGGCGTCTTGGACCGTCGTGAGGTCATGTTAGGTGTTCTTGAGGACCTTCAGCGTATTGGAACCCCTCTTGAGCCATCTCACAAAACATCTTGGACATTTTGGCGGCCACGGAGGGTTGATCTTGAGGCTCCGAAGGGCCCCGGGAGGTGCGTAGACGAGCTCGTGCTCGTGCCCCCCTGAATTAGATGTTGGACCTTTTTTTTGCCCGCAAGGGGTAGAACGTTAACGTGGTTTAGCCTGCCTCCTCTCTTGCTGCGGTCCGCTGCCTCATCGCCTCCAGTCCTAAATTAACCCGCTGCCAGAAACAAAAAGAACAACATCCTCGGGACGCTGCAGCCACACAGCTCGTTGAGCAGGCTGTTGGGTCTGCAGCAGTCTCTGACGCTCCACCTCACTCAAGGTGTGGAGCACGACACCAGGGGCAGCACGGTCTGACTGGGGATAATGTCCACGGAACGTTCGGTTGAGGCGGCCTTTGCTGGCCTAAGACAAGATATCCTCGGCATTTCTTTCGCAGCTGGCGGCCGAGGCGCCCAGCATTGCAGGCGCCACAGCGCCTGCAAAACAAAACATTGGGACCTGACGAGAGACGTGTGTACACCAAGTCATGTCCAAGCCTCGGGTGAGCGAGGAGGGAGAAATTGTTCTTCCGGCAGCGAGGCACGCCTCCTATTTGCCTTCCTCCTTGCTTGGTCTTGCCTCTTTTCGCTTTACTCTTCCCGTGCGCTTATTTAGGCCGTCGCCTCTGTGCTTCGCCCCTTGACGCCGCCCGATCTTCTCGCCGCGGTCGCGATCAAAAAAGCATCCCCACCAGCCAATTCAGGAGCCCTGCCTATGAGAGCTGACGGGAAAAGGGACGAAAAGACACATACAGTGACACAAAGCGGGCAACCAGGGTGAACAAGAGAGATCTCAGGGAGCAAAGGGGTGGCCTTGGAGGGCCTCTTCGGACCATCCCCAGGGCCCAGAGCTCTTTTGGGGCATCTTGGGGCCCTCTTGGGGCTCTGTGGTGGGTATTGGGTTCCTCTAGGTCGGCGCTTTTTGTGGGCGCCTTGGGGCCCTCATGGGGTCCTCTCGGGGCCCTCGTGGGGCCCTCTTGGGGCACTCTTGGGAGCTGTGGAGCGCCTCCTTGGGCTAAATTTCCCTCCCCCCTCCAGGGCCATCGAAATTGCCTCTGGGGGAGCTCTCGGGGCCTTTTGGGGGCGATCTTGGGCGCTCTTGGGGCAGTCTTGGGGGCCTCTTGGGCCCTTCTTGGAGCTTTCTTGGGCCATCTTAGGGCCATCTTGATGCCCCAAAAGCACATCGGAAGCGAAAAGGCGAGATAAGGTACACATCAGTGATTTTCGATAAATGTTTGAAGGATGTTGGCTTCTCGGGGAGGTCCTGAGGGGTCGCCAACAGCACCTGGAACCGTCTTGTGGCCCTCTTGGTGCCTCTTGGAGGCATGTTGTTAGCTATCTTGAGCCATGTCGGGCTATCTTGAGCGATCTTGGAGGCTGTCTTGGGCTTTCTGATGCCCTCTTGGAGCCATCTTGGGCTATCTTGGACGCCCTGACCGCTCGCGAACCCCCCGTCCAGATCCAGGGGAGGGGGTAGGGGGAGGGGTCAAGACACCCTCCAGATAGCAAGCCGTCTAGCTCAATCCCACCCGCCCTCCCAACACCCGAGCCTCAGCATGTTCCGCGGTCGTCTTTTGATGGGCAGCTACTGGGAACCAAAACCGAGACCATGTACGCGACGCTGGGGCGAGGTACGCAACGCGTGCCAGGCGCGCCACGCGCGCCAGGCGCCCCTGGGGCCCGAACGTGCCAGGCACGCCAAGTGCGCCAGATGCTCCCTCCAGCCGCGCCCAAACCGGCCCCCGACAACAAGCCACGACCTCCGAGCCAGCCTGCAGAAACACCCCCGCAAAGGACAATCGGGCAAGATTGCGAATCACTGGTCTCGTGCGCGACCCATCGACGACGACATCAACCGCTCCCTCGAGCCTCGCGAAATCATCCAGAGCTTCTCGCTTCGGGTCCAACATCTCATGATACGTGAGATCTGTGGGAGGCTGGAGAGTAAGAGAGGTGCGAGGGAAGACAAGGCCAGTCCAGAAGAGATCGGACGGGCCTGCCTGCACAGGTTCATGCACAATCTCGGGCTTTGCAGCCTGTGACCTAGCCTCCTCCACCTCGGGGCTGGGGCAAGTCCAGAGCCTGTGGAACATTCTCTTGGCCTCCATATAGCGGGCAGGGGCAGCCATCGAATTGCAGACGATCACCTGTGAACGCAGCTCTTAGCTACAGCATACTTTTGGCGAGGCGTGTACTTCTCATACTTACGCATTACACTGCGCACGATCTCCGAACACACGCGTGCACGCTCAACATTGTATACGATCTGTGCCATGTCACGCTCATGTCTACGTTGTAAAGCATCTCAGCCAGTAAGGATTCCTTTCAGCATGTTCGGGGCCGTGTACATGAGCGGGATATCCAAGCCTTCATCATCTTCCCAGAGTGCAGAATTCTTTGTTGCCAATGTTACTTGCTGGAGAGAAAGAAGCATGCGAGAGATGGGTCCTCTAGTGTGCCTCCAACGGTGATGTGGCTCCAGTCTCTCCTGAACTATCTGGAGCATGTGTACAAGCTCGCGGATGCTGAAGAGAGAGCGCTCTGGTACAACCAGTGCCTGCCACATTGCCACGGCCCAAGACACCGCAGGAGAAACACTGACATCGGGCATCGGGTAGCCATGGAGCACAGACTTAGCCAGCAACGATCCACCTTGAAGCGACACAAAGCGAACATTTAAAAGCGTAGATCGAACTTGCCGCAGTTCGTAGTCGGACATACCGAGGACTGCGCTGCCGTACGCCAGGGTTGGCTTGAGGCCAGCTTGATGAATTACTGCCATCCGGTGTTTACCATGAGAGAGCCATCTCCGAAATCAACGAACTTGAGATTGCCGAAGCCGCAACTGACAAAACCTTTCACGACGTTTTCGAAGAGCCCCTTTTGTTGCCCTGATCTGCGCCGGCGTGAAATCGACTCCGAGGTTGACGGACGAGTGTGTAACACTACCCGCTGGGAGCCCTCGGAGCTGGAGTTGATGAGCTAAGGCCTCAGCTAAAGCTGGTGAACTTGCAATCATTATAGTTTTCTATTCGGAGATGTCAGCCTTAAGTTGATTTCTAGACGTGTGGTAGAAGCCTTCAGCAGCATCAGGAACCAGCCTTTCTAGCGTAGCC